TTATGATCACCGCTTTCTTCGCCTTGTGTAAGCAAAAAGGCAACAAATTGGGAAGAGGGATCAAACTCGGGATATTGGTTATCATTGATTGTCTCTTTCTTCCATGCCTTGTGTAATCATAAAGGCAACAAATTTGGGGTATTGATTATCATTGTCTCTTTCTTCCGTGCCTTGTGTAAGTATAAAGGCAACAAATTGTTGCCAAATTGTCGAACGTTCTTCAAAAAAGAGTAGTTTTGGATAATAACAATATTGATTTTTTTGACGATGGATCTGTACAATTAAAGATTATATGTAATAAATATCCGAGACAACCATATTAATATATATGACATGATATCAAAATTCATTTGTTGCCAAGCATAACAATACAACAATGGACCATAACAAAAAGTAAAAGACGCACTGTGACAATATAGTCGCGCGTCAACCGATTTTTAGTATTGATATGCATTTACAAAGTTCACCAATATAAGCCCGCCTCTATACTGGCTGATGTCTAATCCTGGAAACGGGTCAGAATGCTTAACATTATTATTATATCTAAGTGCGCTCGCTGTATTGAAAGATATTAATATGTGACTCTCCTTTGCAGTAATGATAGTGTTCGGTGACTTTCTCCATGTAATCCAAACCGAATTTAATAATTATTGTTGTTGTTGTTGTTATTATTATTATTATTATTATTATTATTATTATTACGGCAGATTAATTACTATTATTATTATTATTATTATTAGTATTAGTAATAATCATATTATTAATTGAATGGGCCAGACTTATTAAACGGAGATGATCACTGCTGAATAAGATTCGGATTAATCATCGGACAGATTAATAATCTTGTAATAATTATAATTAGTATTAGAAATCAAAAGATTATGAATCAAAAAAAATTCGAAAATGGTGCCATGTTCCGCTCCTTGCATATATAAGGAGGGATGAAGGGATCAAGAAGTGAATTGTCTCTAGTATATTTACATCGTGATGGCAGGAAGCATTGCTCGTACAATTTCAAAATCAATATTTGCAAAAGTAGGTAACAACCCTGTAATGTCATTTACATTGTGCATATCTCTGAATTTTGCGACTCTTCTTTAGCCTCGACCAGAAGGCGTTGGTGCAACAGTTCGCAGGGCAATTGGCGGGGGTCATAGTTACTTAGATCCGTTCTTAATGTGCGATGATTTCACTGTAGCCCCACCAGCCGGATTTCCAGATCATCCCCACAGGGGATTTGAGACAGTGACGTATCTCTTAGAAGGTCGGTAATTCTACTTTGGGAATAAATAAAGGCCTCCTATTTTTTTTTTTTTTTTTTTCGACAAAAATCTAACGTCAGGTAAATGTAGGTGCCATAGCCCACGAAGACTTCGCTGGAAATAAGGGCATCATTGGGCCGGGGTAAGTACAACAACTTAAAATCATCAAATTGATACTAGCGCCACTATTAAGCATTTAATTATTCATCATTGGCACACTTTTTACTCGCCTATTCTATTCTTAAGTGATCTCCAATGGATGACTGCCGGCAAAGGCATAGTTCACGCAGAAATGCCAGCATCTCCCACTCCCTCTCGCGGAATTCAACTTTGGCTCAATCTTCCCGCCGACCAGAAGATGATCGAACCCAGCTATCAAGATCTCAAAGATAAGGATATTCCACGAGCCCAACCAGAAGAGGGTGTTGATATAAAAGTAATCGCAGGTGAATCACATGGTGTGAAATCACCGGTGTTTACACGGACACCATCGATGATGATTGATTTTTCGTTACTCAAGGGGAAAAAAGTCAGGCAGGAAATACCAAAGGAATACAGAGGATTTATTTATGTGATTAAGGGATCAGGGTATTTTGGAGAAACCGAACACAAAGGCGAAACAGCTCATGTGTTGTTTCTTGACGATAATGAGGGAGATCACTTGAATGTTGAGGCACGAGAGGACGATCTGAGGTTTGTTCTCTTTGCTGGCAAGCCGCTTAACGTAAGTGTAATGAAATAACAAGTATTGATATCTATAGTCTACTTGATATGTATTAATAGACATGTATATTAATCGATTGTAGGAGCGAATCGTCCAGCATGGCCCATTCGTAATGAATGCAGATGAACAGATCTTCCAGGCTATCAATGACTATAACTACTGCAAAAATGGGTTTGAGCGAGCGAAGAATTGGCGTTCATCAATTGCTGATGGGGTTATTAGGACTTGAGCATGTTTACTGCCAAATGTATTTATGGTAATAAGATGCTAACCCTTTTTGATACTCCAAGAGCATGCTACCAATTATCATTTCAATGCCAAAGAACATTACAAACTCTGAGAATCGTGTAAAATGCAGGATATCAATCAACTATTGCTTGTTAGCACGAACTCTATATAATAATAAAGCTTTTATTTGGAATATTAAATAGTTTTGTGTGTATGCTAAACGTAAGTTATAGGTTGTAATCTTGTAATAGGATATATGCGTTTACATTACTACTATTTCTCCGGAGAGAATCTAGGCTCCATCAAGCAATGAAGTATAGGCCTTATTTTGGATAATAACATGACACCTGCTTTAGCCGCCAGACGTTGGCGAAATTGATAGTGGCCCCAACAGAGCATTTTACGAACGGTTTTTCGTGTTATCTTTCTTGTTTTTCGATTTACCATATTCGACACCTCAAAAGGGATAAGTAAAAAATGCGACACTCTTTTTATGAATTTCGCTTTGCAGGTGTTTGATTTTTCGTCGCATCCGATAGATTGCCTTATCAAGTCGCAAGGCCTTTTTCTTCTTACGTTTTGAATTAGAGGCAGCCAGCTTGTCCTTTATAGAAAGAAGATTATCTATATTAATATGCTTGCATAGACGAATAATTCGTCCAATGTCGTATTGGTTAATTTTACCTAGAGAGTACCATGTGAAGGTCGATGGAAGCTGCATGAATAGAACTATCCGCTTGGGTTTCGCGGAGTTGTTTTTGCGTCTCGTGAACTTCCGTTCATTAGTTTTGCGAATCTAGGTGATCTTCGTAATAGGCCACTTATTATCATGCTTTTTTTTTTTTTTTCGAAATGAAGCGGCCACAAATCGCGTTTGTCGTCCAGAGTGATAACAGGCTTATGACGGAATGCGGAAAGCATTGATGGATTATTATTATGGAGATGAGTGATATAGAAACGGTTCCACGTGGATAATTTTTTCGGGATCGAAATGACAAAGACGAACTTTGCTGATTCCTGTATTTTGATTGTCCCTAAAATTAGTTAAATAAAATCAAAAATAAATAAATAAATAAATAGAAAAATAACAACATGCTTAGCAGTTAGTGCTTCATCAATCGCCTCATCGATAATGTTTGCAGGCCATGTGTACCTTGAAGCAGCATTCCAATACAATACGCGTGATTTTTGAAAACTCTTGTCCTCACGCTCATTAGCGTCTTTTCCTACACGAACATCCGTGTACTTATCTTCAATAGGTTGAGATTTTATCCAAACCCGTCGTGATGGACCAATATGCGAATCTTTGGTATAGAAACGGCAGTATCGACAACTGCATTATAAGCATACCTCGACAAGCCCATCCACCGTTTCAATAGCTGCTTTTGAAGGTGATTTGGATATACTTTGATTATTATTTTGCCATGATATTAAAGTCTTGGGAAGAAATTGGAAAAAGCACTTTTGTTAATTTGATTCAAAGCATGCTGTCAAGATTGAAACCTTTTTTCGCGCACTGTAGAATACACTCTAATAACGTCAGTAACAAAGGCCGATGTCAAAACCAGAATAAGAGTAATGGTCATCATTGAATGATATTAGACTTTATTAAATGTTAAAAGTCGAGAGCCCACATACGTGAACGCCAACTAATACAAAAAAAATTGGACAAATTAACTTGCTCATTTCTGCACAGCCCATTTTTTCGTCATGAAATAAATCTAGATTTTTGGGTATGCTCTTTTATTTTCTACTCTTCTTTTCATAGTTCTTTTTCAAATTTTTTCTTTTGTTTTTGGATTTTTTAATTATCCAGAATGTTGTTTTTTTGGCTTCTTCCAAGAAATGCTTGGCAGCCTGACTAGAGTTTTCGATATTAATATAGAAGGTGTGGCAAATTAGGCCGAGACTGTAAGTCAATAATAACAGCCAATTGCTTCATTACTTTAAATATTCATAATATTGGGGAAGAACGCAAAGCCTATTTATTTGTGGCTGCTCTATTACCTAGAATAAAGTTTTTTTGTAATATTACGAACCTGATTCATTAAGTATACATCCAAAGTACACACAAGCGACGATTGCTCGGTAAAATGTCTTGTTCTTAAAATCTAGGTCACTTGAATAGCGATGCGGACAAGATATTGTATTAGAATCCGACGAGCTTTAAATCACATGCATATTATGATGTACTTACATTTGGATGTTTATTATTATACCAAGAGTATGTAGTATTCTAAATCAATGTAATGTAAATTAACTTATACTCTCGTAATTAATGTGCGAACGCTTACGTTATTCACAGCCATTCTCTTCGTTATCGAGCTTTTGCAAACATTGTATTACGCGCTTTGTAGACAATACTTCAACGACTATATTGTAGTCAAACAGGTCATTATTATGCAATCTGGACGTTATTTGCCACTTTTCTCGTCATATTCGGGTGTTCAAACCATCGGTCCTCGAATTGGGTAATTATCAAGTTTACTCGCTCCTATTTAATTTAATAACTCTATTTATCATCACTATATCAGTGCCAAATTGTCATAATAAACGAAAAATTTACTCGCAAGAGCAGATATCAGTGCTGCATAACAACAAACACAGTGACTCATTTCAACTGAGTTGGATACAGGCTATCACATTCAAATCAATACTTGTGTCATATCTAGCTTCCAACTTTTATTTAAACAGCACATTTGCGACAATTTTATGCACATTATTACTTTTCTGAATACGAATATATTATTTAGCGCATTCATTGTAACCTACGCTGCAACAACAGAATGAACATCGACAATTTAATACACGCATCCAACTTGTTGACCACATCGGCACTGGAAAAACGACAGCCACCGCCTACCGAAACCCTTCTTCTCGAAAATCATGGCCTTTGGCGTCAATTTCGTTCCATGGAAAATGAAATGATAATTACAAAGACTGGCAGATGCTTATTTCCTTCCCTGAAATTCACGCCCATTAATCTCTCGCCATCAGCATCGTATTCATTTGTCCTCGATTTTACACCGGTTTCGCAATCAAGATTCAGGTGGAGAAATGGCATGTGGGTATGCATTGGATTCGACAAAAGAAGTAAAAAAAGAAAAGAACAAGCTATTAAGAATTCAAAATCAGGGAGAATGACGCCAAGATTATCTACAAAGAGCTCACCAGAATTAACTGCAGATCAAGTCCGATATAGTTTAGGCCACCCAAGCGTAACGACTCGCGTAGAAAACAGCAAAGCCGTTAAACAAGAATACAGAGCGAATCAAGTTTTTGGACATCCATACCTTCAGCCTGAATCGCCGCAATCAGGTATGAATATTAGGGTGTGGGTAAAATAAATAATGAGACAGAAAATTGAAAGAATAATAATGATTAGTTTGCTAGTCGCTAGTTTGCTTACTCGTGTTATCACATTTTAAAACATTAACGCTCACAAAGTAACGCACACTTTTATTACTTAATTAGGACGGTATTGGATGGACAGAGGCGTCAACTTTGCCAAAGTGAAACTGTTTAATCGCACTAGCCTACCATCATCACCCTCCTCTTCATCAAACCCAAACAACTTCCCTAACTATAACGGCTACTTTGGTTTGACGACATTTTATAAATACCAACCGCGCATTCAAATGGTCAAGCATGGCCAAATCAACGACGTAAAAACGTTTGAATTTGACGAGACAATTTTTATTGCCGTAACACATTATCAGAATGAACAGGTAAATACGTTAAAAAAAGAGAACAATCCCCATGCTAAAGGGTTTAAAGAAAGTAGAAGACAAAATGAGAATCATATAAGCAACATTATGGATAAAACCGATGAGGATGATGAAATTGAGTCTGATTGCGTTATTAATAATGACGAGTATGGTAAGGATAATGACTATGAGCATGAGAGGAAAAAGAAGAGAAAACTAAATGAAAAAATTCACAAAGGTGGTAAAGACAATGAGTTTCGTTACAAGATAGTGCCAAGCGAGAGTCAACACAGAGAGAAAAGACGAGAACAAATCATGACCGTTGACAATATTTATGACGAATCGGAGAGGTATAATGGAAAGGATTACAATCATGTTTATGACTATACTAACAATAATTCTGAGGGTAAATACGAAAATAAATACACCAACACGGCAGCCGACAACACTCATTTTGCTACCAGCCATTCTTTCGACAAGCAAAATCAGATACCTCTTTTGTATAGTTTCTACTCAACACAATCAAATTGTACACGCCAGATATTGCACTATGATGAAGACGCTAATAACCCGCAAAATACACGCTATAATGCTGCACAATTGTATGCAGGGGATAACAGCAGATATTCAAATTTGCGCTCGCTTGACCAATCGACTTTGGATAATCCACAAGATGCGCATTCGGTTACTGACTTGCAAAATGCACATTCACAACCAACTTTTCACAGCCAAGAACCATGCTATATTCCTTCATCACCATTAATAGAGACGTCTCCATTCCATACGCCAACAAAACAAAACGGCTCCATTTCGATGCCTTATTACAGCGCACACGTAACTTCGCGCTCTTCTGCACGCGAATATCACAATTCTTCGACTATCCCGGATGTTTTGTCTGATTTTTCAACGCCAACTTGCTCTCAGTCATCCGTCACGGCCTTGTCTCCTTTAACACCCACTACTCCCACGCCCATTCCCGCAAGATTTGATAATGTAAATTTTCTCCCGAGTATTAATTCCATTTTATTATCTCCAACACCCGCGCGGCGCGGATTACTATTCAACGGAAAACAGAAGAAATTATCCGGTTCACTGTCTCCTACTTTAGGTGAAGATAACTGCTTGGGTGAAGCTGTTCACGATGTTGCGAACATAAGACATTACGAGAAAGGCGAAAATAGGACCCGTGGAAATATTAACACACACGAGATCCGAAGAGACAAGAAAGGTAATGTTAGAACACTGGAAGATGAGAACAAGAGACTAAAAGAGTTTATCAGACTAAAGCTTGGTGTTGATGCTATCAAGGACGCTGTCATCATGATTGAATAGACCATAGGTAGATGGCTATTGTAGAAGATGCTAGTATCATCAGTAATAAGCAATTTTATTATCCTTGTTTTATAATTCTTGTACTTAGCAACTAAGTTGTGCTAGTAGCGAAGTTTGTATTTGTATAGCGTCTTTGGTAGCTATTGTTATCAAAATAAACTAATTGAAAATTCTCCGTGTGACTCGCATGATATCTAATTGAGGCATAGCAACTGATTGATTGTGAATGAATAGAATTTTCTGATGCGATAAACAATTATTTCACCCCGTACACAATGAACAGTAAACGGCGTATCGTTATTGCAAGGAGCGCTTTTTCGCGCATTCACCACATGTTGCAAACAGGGGACAGCGTATGAAATACTTCATGTGAAATATTAGTGTTTAGGGGTTTTGTGACCGACTTGCCGTCCTTTTTTTGGTTATTTGCATTCTTTTTCAGGAGCACTAACATGAATGCTTGCTGGGTGCAGTGATCTTTTTTGGGTTATTTGTGATCCTTTCTAGCGAAAGTATGACAGTTTTTATATTGCGTTGCTTTACCGTCGGCGTTTCGCGTTCACTATTATTATTACGCGCAATGCTTTTATCGTGGTTTCATATCCGTTAAGGACTTCATGTTACCATACTAATACATTTTTCCCCCGAAGAATTACCGCCTCACATGATATGACTTTGGATTAACTTTTGTAGGCGATTAAAAGTATGATGGTGGGAGATGCATCACAAACGATATATATTTGCGGCGCTGATTTGTCTTTTGTAGTTGTTTTATCAGCTGAGCGGACAAAAGCTTGCTGAAGCTTGCGAAAGAAATCAAACGTTCGACTGCGTTGACATTTATATTGGTAATTAAGATAACTTACCAAAAAATTTCGACCAATAGTAACTAGTTGGTTGCTTTATTACCGTATTAGTATGCCTTATTATTGACATGATCATCATTAATATTTGGTTGGCAAGACGTTCACCTGTTTAAGTTGCTAACGATATTAATATTACTACCCTTTCACAACGCATTTTTTTGCGTCCATTTTATCGGACGCATACTCTTCACAAATCCGGTTTGCCTCCAACAGCACGCGCAACCTTATTCTTGACCCCACGAAAGCGAAATCATTTTTCGCTTGAGGGTTCTTCAACAGCTTCTTCTGAAGACGAAAATAGGCGCGGTGGTGAGACTCTCGGTGCTGGCGGCAGAGTTGGCTGCAGAATGAAAGTCGCGCGGCCGATTATGCGTAACGGATACGCTAGCTCTGTTGAACGGGGGATTGTGTCTGCCGGGGCGCTGATTATGAGTTATAGGATTCTTCAATTTTTGGGGGATAGTAAGGCGGGAACAATTGAGAGTTTAGGTTAGTAGGCCTTTTTGTATTTTCTGTAGGTAGTGCAACAAAAGGGGTGGGGAGGGAATTGGGATGATTGCAGACTATGGAATTTGTGGATTTGACGTTAATGGTCAAAATGGCACTTATGAGAATACTACTCTTCTTTAGCCATCTAATTTTGTTTATTTTTCGTCAATGGCAGATTTGCTGTTGCTATGGGTTGGAATTTGGGTCGTGTATTCGATATACTTCCCTTACCACATTGAAGATTCTCACAAATTATGGGGAACAGATAATAAATGCTACAGGTCTCGATTTAATAATATACGTTCTGTTGTTGTTGTTGTTGTTGTTGTTGTTGTTGTTGTTGTTGTTGTTGTTGTTGTTGTTGTTGTTGTGTTTTTTTTTATTACGTATTTGCTAAATGCATGTAGAATACTAAATCTACTATCATGGTGAATTCTGCTATTAGGCTAGACGTTGACGATGGCTCATTTTATGCAGTATTATTGATGCCCATTATAGCTGGGGCAAAATTAATAGATGCTCGGAAAACATACGGCGACGACAAAATAGTTTGTGTGTGCTCTATGTTGATATCTAAAACAACTGCATTACAATTCGCTTGAACGATATTAAGGCGTTCCTGCATTTGCTGTTTAATAGTGCTCGTTCAGGCCTATTTGGAGTTATTTATTCTGATGGGACATGGAATACTGCTTCACGTGATCATGTCGAAGTTGTTTCATACACAACGGAGAAATGTAATCATATCCATTATAACGATGAGCATTTTATCAGCAGTAATGTACTTGCTAATGTCAAAGATTGGTTTACTCCCATTGTTTGGAAGTAAGTTTTTAGATACTATCCTCGGAGGTAATTCGCATTATTACTTTTCCAAACTAATTTTCATTGCCATCCTAGAATATCCGTGGCCAATTGCTATCTTCTCCCAAATAACCTACCATACTACATTATATTGTGCTGCAACGGTCTTAAAGAGAAGCTTCACTCTTGGTGAATTGTCAATTGTATCACAATCTATAACATTTCTCGCGACAGAAGCATCAATTCTCACTTTGAAAAAGGTAACTTTGTCTTCCACCGTGACACTTCCTATCCTGATTTTTTTACACTATACTCAAATTTGCCAACGCCTCCTACTATCCAATCCTAGTAGTATCCCCTCCTTTCTCTTCCGTCATTTGCAAGGATTCCTCGCTCTCCGATAATAGCGTTACACATCGGCTTAATGTTGGGTGTTCTTGTTGTCGGTGTATTAATCTCGCCGGTACTAATGAGATCACGCAGACTGGCCCAGCAGCCAAGTTGGAGGAGCAAACATTCTCAAGTGGTTGCAAACGAGAAGAAATTTGTTGGATTTGTAGTGTGTTTGGGGAGCATATTCGTAGTTGTAAGTGGCATCGGGCAGTGGGTCGAGCTGATGATTGAGGAGAATCCGTATTTTTGGTAAGGGAAACGAAGGGCAAATGGTTCTGGAGAAGGTCAAAGTGGGTCATTTGAGTACGATAATTGGTATTGACGGAATATGTATCATGCAGGGTAATTAACTTTGTAATCGAGTCCCCCACACGGGTCATGCTTGTGTGTTATTGGATCGTCACCGTAGTTGCGTCTATCCTGGTATACATTAATTTGATATATTCGAGGCGAAGTTTTTCATTAAACACCAAAAGAAAGTATTTTCATGGATTGGCGGTTTTGCTGTTTATACCTGGCTATTTTCTCGAGGTTAGTTATTGTATCTACTGAATTCACGTGATGGTTTACGCTTTACGCCGGCAGGGCTAACACCGTATAAATTTCGCTATAGCCCGATTTCATAAGTCTCGCCTTCAGCGTTGCATTTGCTGCCTTTATCTATTGTGAATATTTGAGATATTTTGCAGTGTACCCTGTTGGAGCCAAACTTCATATATTCCTGAGTGAGTTTGTAGATAGTCGCGATTCAGGTCCATGTATTTTGAGTCACTTGTATTTATTAGTCGGATGTGCAGCATGCGTATGGCTACAAGGGTGAGTATGATAGAAATAGTTTACCAAATAATGAGTTTGACAAATTATTAATTGATTTCGTTTTTAGAAATTCGCCTATTGCTTCAATGTCAGGAATAATCACTCTTGGACTTGGTGATGCTATGGTAAGGGTTATTCTAGACTTGATTATCGCCAACCGAAAATCAAACATTCCCATCAATGTCCATACCTATTTTTTGTGCCATCCCTGTAGGCATCCATAATAGGAAAGAAATTTGGTAAACATAGATGGTCAGGTACCGTGAAGACAATAGAGGGATCGTTGGCATTTCTAATTGCTGATTTGTTGGGAGGATATCTCGTTGGATTGCTTAGCGGGCGTCCAAATCAATGGATTCCATACATTATTGTTGCTATTGCATCCACGCTTTTGGAGGCGTTTTCTCTTCAGAATGATAATCTGATAATTCCTCTGTTTATGTGGCCTATGATCATTTTACTATCGTAAATATGTAAGACGCGAAGATTTCATACTCATGTAATATATATTCTATAGTTCAAATTATTTTGTATTGACAAAATTGTAACCTCGAGTTTAGGTAGTCAGATAAGGGAATATCAATAGAGGAACTCTTGCACTAAAATAAATTGAAACTTTTGTACATCGAATTCATTAGTGGCACGGAGATTTTGTTCAGTTTAACTTACAAGAAACAACTCGGGAAGTCTCATGGCGACTATAATCTCTAATTAAAAGATCCCATCCCTTGTTAGCTTCTGCGGCTCACAAGCAATTCCAAAGATGCATAATTTGACTGTCAAGATTAGAATTCTTGTTTGATTTTATTGGTGACGTTAAATATCGAAAAATCTTTCTTTAGTGTAAAAATCCCAACGATTAGAGAATCAATATTATTTACCCATACTAATTCGGATTAAATATTCATCTATGAAAGCACAACTTTCTCGATATCGTCCACAGTGTTAATGACTGCTGGTGTCCGGATTGTCTTTCCTTTCAATCCCTCCAATCCTTCACCAGCGTAACTAACCAAGGGACTTATCTCGAAAGTCAACTTATCCTGTGTCTCTCCAACTCCAGCTACAACTTCACCTCCTGCTTTCTCTACGAACCTCACATGCTGGCTAATAATATCCCTTCTGCTAGTGTCCGGATCATCGACTCCCGTACCTGGTGCATTCTTCAATGGAGAAAACTCCTCTTTGCGATCAACCTCTAACACAGACATACGCTCGGTGAACGGAAACACGTCGAACACAAATAATTCCATCTTCATACCATTTGGTTTAGTTGGTGACTGCAACTCTCCAGTCTTTAAATCAACATGTTTGATCTTTTTCTTGGCAATGTGATATTCCAATTCACCCTCAAACCGTTCAACGCTTTTTAGAAAGTCCACCGTATAGAAATGATTGGCAATATTTGCAGCTCCATATTCCAATTGGCCATTAGCTTTAGTCAAAGCCGCCAAGGTAGGATCAAATTCGCTATACTCAACTACGTTGAATTTACCATCTTTCAACGCTATCAGTCCAACTGGTTCTTCTGGATAGGCCTTTCTGACAGCTTTAGCACCACAGTCAGCATGTTTGGAGATACTATAGCCAATAAACACAGGGTCTGCTACGCGAACGAGACAGTTATCAACGCAGTATGCGTGTACGTAGAGGATATCACGAGAGGTGAGGTCGGTAAGAACATTTTCATTACGAAGGGCAGCATAGATACCACCATTGCCATCTGGTGCCACCGCGATCTAGAGCAGGAATCGGAAAGTAGAATATAGATAGAGTTAGCTTAAGCAAATAAGGGAAAGCTTTGCAAAATAAGAGAAGATTGGACACCTTGGATTTGGTTTCCAAGAAGATTTTGCCATCGTCTGTGAGAGCCGGGAGTATTCCTGAAGTAGAAAAAAGAACAGTCAAACTTGTATGTTAGCAATATGTAAACTACATATCAAACAGTTCAAAACAAAATGGCCACAACTACAATACACCCCAAACCTGCTACATACCTTGCTCAAAAACAATAACATTTTCTTTTTCCAATCCAAAGTATCCATGACTTTGAAAGAATTCTTCTGTCGCAGCCCTCGTTGGCCCGCTCGTCATAACATACCAGGGAATAACCACCTGTCCTTGCGTACCAGTAGTGTCCTTGGCAATCTTTTGTAATCGCAAAATCCTTTCAGCCTGCAGCTGGAACAGTGACTTGTGTGATGGCAATCCAATATCGTAGCAGCCTTTAGGTGCCGATGATCCCAATCTCGTCCCTTGTCCACCAGCCATCAAAATCACGGCAACTTTATTCTCGGAAATCGATTTCAATCCGATCGATTCCCACTCTTCTTGCTTCGATTCGGTAGCATCCAACACCGAATCGAAACTATCGTTAGGAAGGGGAGATATGCTCAGATTGGTGGAGGAGGATTCGAGACTGGAAACGGCCTTTTTGTAAATGCGGTTAACACGATCTACATCTAATTTAGAAAGTTGGTCGTATAGGGCAGTTTGTTCTTCGGGCGAGAGCGAGTCATAGAAGGTGAAGACCTGCTCTTGTCGAGCGGCTGCATATTTCGCTTTCAGAGCATCAACTTGTGCTTGAGTTGGCACAGGATTGATCTTAACGGATGAAGTCTTGAATGACATTTTTTAGTGTCTTTCTATGATTGCAGTGACTGCGTCTTGTGTGATGAGATGAGAACGCGAGGAGTATGCGTATCATATAGTGAGTAAAGTTGGGGGTTCTTCATATTGGGTATGCAGTAAAACAAATGCTTGTTACGCAGGATTTTGACAATTTCGCCTCGTTGACATACTACAGTACATTAATAATTCCAAGTCGTACAAACGGTGTCTAATTTTTCCATAAAGATAGGCGATAGTTTAATTCCGGATCGTCGGGAGCGCATAATTTTTATGCACTAAAAAGGAGGTATGCATTCAGAGACAAAGTCAAATGGAGCAAAGCAATTGATTGGATATTCATTTTCTGAAAGGGACATTAAATAACTTGCCTTTCACGAAAATAATAGCAGAATCATAATGCTCAATGAGAATAATTATTAATTATTCAAAACCACTCCTAGCGAGTAACTTTTTGATTATTTAGCTTTGATTGAACTGAAATAGGCATCTGCTATGGAATACTCGCAAGTCAGTAATGACTCTCTCGAAGAGCTTCAGTGTAAGCTGACACATTGATGCCAAATTTTCCATACCTTAAGACTATTAATAATTTGATCGTCTATTGCAAATCATTCTGTTAAGACTGCACAAGCCAGGCCAGCTAAAACTGAGCCCGCATTATGAGAAGTAAAGAAGGTTGACGAATTAGAGGGTTATGCCAATGATCGCGTTTATGACAATATACACACTTGCAGCAGAATAAAAATAAGTTGATGAAGAGCAGTACACATACAAATCTGCTTCTCCATTAATAATGTTTGCTACCCCGAGTAGATTTAAGGAGAATAATAATGTGGTAAGGAAGTTCGGGAAAAGGTGATATTGTACGTACTTTATTAGATTATTCGACGTCTTGTCATTTAAACATCGTAATATTATACTACTTAGAAGTTACATATAAGTCACTTCCTCGATTTCGAAAAGTTTTCCGGCACATAGTCTCGTCCTTCCCACTACTTTGATAATGAAGCTTCATTGCTTTGTCATTGTTCTAATTAGCGCACTCGACATATTGGCAACGCTAATCTTATTATTAGAAGACCGAAAAACCAAGTAGAGATAAACGCTGTGTTGGAAAAAGCTTTTTCCGACAAGGCAACATTTAATAGACCATCATGTCCAAGTTCTCCCCCTATTTCTCCCAACTACTGACGTGTTACCAAGCGGTTTGAACCATTTTTACTGAAAAATGCGGCAACGATCTTAACCTTCAAAGCCGACATCAACGACTAGTATTAGAAGAGCCTTTAGCCTATTATTGAGAATGAAGTTATATGGAGCATGCTGCAACAAAACCAGACAAAGTGAATATTTGACAAAGTGGTTGGTGTCCAATGTGGCCGACATAGCAAATAATGGTACTTGTGGACTTGTTAACATTAAATCTGTAACTAATGTTAAAGTCATAACACAATTAATATAGGATTATGTGTACATAAAAATATTAATATGAAACTAGTCTACATTAAATCCATCATGGAACCAAAGAAATTACATCACTATTAGAAGTATTTTAAAGAAAAATAGGGTGAAAAAATTGCTCCATATGTTTTTAAAATGCATGACACCCAAACTCTCCAGGAATATCTAGATAAAGAAAAATCACTTATAAAATTTACGAACGAAAAATAGGAGAAACATAAAGAAAAGCAATTTAACATAAAAGTTTCTCACTAGACCCTCTGCTGATTGAGAGACCTATCAACAAAAGACTATTCCTTATTATTATAGTCTTTGACTCGTTGATAAAAGACTGTTTGAACTTATTGTTGAGCTTTGACTCGCATTTCGCTAATTTGACGCGATTGTAACCAAAGGGCATAATTTTATCATAAAAGCACCCGAATTATTGCATGGGAAGAAAATACTCGGACAAAGCCATTAATGAGCATAACATATTTCTTTGGTCACTCTGATGCAAATTTAAATTCATTATTCTTGTTAAGAATATCATCTTTTGATACCGTTTATTAACAATTTTATTGTAATTGTCTTCACTCTTTATATGCACAATATTCCCCATCATTGAATTACGTCTTTAATTTTTTTCGTGAAGCTGAATTTCCAATGCATTATCTTCACAATTAATGGTAAAATTTCGGCTAGTTCTGGGTCTTTTTTTATCGATAACCCTAAACCCGGGTTTATTATTATCACCCCAAACGCGGATGACAAGTTTCATGTATGAAAAAATTTTAAGCCAAGCTTCTCATGGAACAAGTTATCTAATCAAGTATTAATAGATCCGTATTTTTATTATTTAGTTGGTGGTAAGCTTAAGGTTGAATGGAAAGACCGTAAGTATCTTTAATATAAATTAATGTGCTATAATTTATCTTGGTTTCTTTTTCTAAGAAATTTAGTCTATATTTTATAATCTTTAAAAAAATGTTACAGCATTCAAATTATACAAAGGTCTTACTTTTGGGCCTTCTCAACAGCTTGATGCCCCGATCAAATTTGGAAATTAATGATAAAAATGGAAGTTATTTGGTGGGGGCATCCTAAATTGGAAATTGTTTATTTTTCATATGAACATAATTCATATGATCGATGTGATGTGACGAGAGCAATACATGGAATAGTAATAGAACATCAAGAAATTTTTTTTGTTCAAATCCATTGCAATGCCTAAGAAGCAAGAAAAAACATCGGAACCTTTATTATACAAACATCCACAACGTATGCGGGTTTGATAATGTTGGAGGGTGTCCAGAATGGCTTCAATAAATCGTTTAGTAAAATGTGCTTGGCTAACACCAAACATTTGTTCTAGTTGGCGATATTTGCTAATCTTTG